TAGCAGAGGTTTTCAATGCAAATTCACGCTTAATATATAGATATTAAATACCAAAGCTATTTTTTCAAAAAGAAATTATGATAAAGAGATTCGAAGTGCCACTGGTATAACAAACAATTGTTTATTACCGGTAACAGACGTGTTTTGTCATACCAAATGGGGCAAGTTTGATTCCGTTAAGCTCATTTAAAAAAAAAAAACATCTTCAATATTTAATAGATATAAATTTAGCGTGAAGTTATAAAGCTTAAAAAATGTCTAGCTTAGTTTGTAAGATGTTTGATTTGGTGGAAGCCTGGAGACTCAGGTTCATACCCGGCCCTTGTATTCTCAAAAAAATATTTGTTTTTATTTATGAAAAGGAAGGAGTTGACGTGGCATGGCCAGATCAACATTGCTTCCACCTTGGAATGTCAAATGGGTAGATGACCTGTTAAAAAAGATTAAATTGAAAGAATTAGTCGGTTCAATGGGATTATTTATTAAAAAATATGATTTTTTTTATAAATTTTCTTAAAATAATGAAACTTTACTGGAAAAAACTCTTTCATATTTTTCTACAACTTTCAGTGTTTTTAAATATTTTAACTTTTTTTTTATCATTTTAAACTTTTTGCTATTAATGTTTATAATTTATTTTACAAACACTAGTTTTACCTTTTATTACGTCTCATTATATATATAGACTAATTTTGAAGCCCCTTAGGGAACAGTAACTCATTCCTATTGGTTCATTTTTTCATTTTTTTAGTTTTTTTTTCCAAAACTATCTGTCTTTTTTAGATTAATATCCACCATCTCTCTAAATCAATAAGGACGAGGTTAGTGTCATCGACTCAGTATCCACTAATCGTCTTTCTATTTCACCACCGCCTCAAATACAATTTCTTCCAGAACATCTCTTACTATATCGTCTTCTCCTCACCTTCACCACCGCCTTATCTCCCTTCTCTCCTATCTCTCTCTTTCTCTTTCTTTCTAGATGGTTCCCACCACTAGCTGTCTCCCACACTACCCTCACCTCTTATCTATCTCGCCTGATCAATCGACCCAATCGACAGTTGGTTTGCAAAGCATAAACCCTATCTCCTACGCGATTAGGGCTGGTCGGCGATTAGGGCTTCGAATTGAGTTACGTCCGATTCTCCACCGGGTTTCTCATTCTACGTTTTTCTCATAAAGGAGGCATATTCACAGTTGAATTCCTTACCTCATATCGATGCATTGATGCATGATGTCCTGCTGAAGGAGGTCGAAGTGGTGGCATTGAAGTCCGTTTTCGACCTCCACTCAAGGATGTTCTTAAACTTGCTTATGTTGACTAATCTAAACAGGTCGTTGATAACATCACTGAAGCTATGATGGAGAGTAACGTATATGATAAGAATAGAGATCCTTCGCAACATGAGATTCTGGAGGTTTTTAGCAGAGAAATCGGTTTCAATCCTCCCAGAAACTTCTATCGCTGAATCTCTGCTTCCGAGGTTCTTTCTTCCCCAGATATATTTACGATTATGAAATTATTGGGAAGTTTTATATTGAAATCGTGAAATTGATACGGAGTTTTATCTTTAAGTTGTATTTACAGTTTATTTCAGCTCAAGTTTTACAAATTTTAAATTGATTGTGCACCTTGTGTCAGGTTCTGATGTTGCTTCTGGTCATGTAGACAACATATTTCAAGCTAGAATCGTGCCTTTCACTGATGACAGAACCATAGTTACTTCTGCTGCTGATGGCCAGGTTAGTTGTTTCATAGATTATGTCCTTTACATTATAATGTTAGTTGCTCACTTAGTTTCAAATATATACATTCATTCAAAACATATATTCTTTTCTAATATACTTTGTTAGGTTTTTCATTAAGGAAGATGGGATTATTTCTGAATCAAGCTTTTCAGATTCAAGAAATACAGTTATGATCAAGAACATCCCTAATAAATAGAGGTTTAATTCTTTCTTTATTAATTTGTTTTCTTGAGTCCATTTATAATTTATCTGGAAGTGAAGATTTCAATTTTGTATTCATGAATGGGTGCAACCAGGGCGTGTTTCATGATCTGTCAAAACTTGGATTTAGTTGTTGGATTAGTGTCTAAGTCCGTAACTATAATTGGTATGTACTTGACCCGACTCGGCATGGTCCATTTGGGTTGCATGGCATCAGAACATTTGGATAGACCGTTTGTGAGGAGAAGACATTTGTGACATATTAATATATTATAAGTTCTAATATATTAATATGAAATCATGTTATTTAATTAGTATTGATTATGATCATAATTTGGACTTAATTTAGTGATGAAAAAGAGACTAATTAAATATATGGGGATTGATTGTGTATAACATTCATTCTTATATATGTGGGCTTATGATCCATGATTCCTTATGTTGGGTTTAACCCATGTGGTGATCCATGAATACTCCATGGAGGTTAAAAGCATAAGGAATGGGTAAAGTCATGGGTTACATGGTGTAACCCTAATGTGCACACTATATAAGGACCCTTTTAGCTCAAGAAATTTGCACTAGTGATACATATATGAGGGCTAGCCGATTTGAGCATGAGTGTCTTCTTCTCAT